ATTTCTCTGGCAGGCCTGGGTTGGTGATCTGGGCAAGAGGTTGCCTGGGGTTGGTGGCTAGACAGGGCAAGAAGTGGATCTGGGACTGGACCGGGTGAGGGGCAACAGGAGGAAAAATCAACACTGGGGGCCTTCTCACTCAACATCCACCCCCTGGGCACTTCTATGAGACCAGACCCCCAGGTGTTCCAGGGAGTCAGAAACTGGCTCAGACCTCTGGGGGCTCAGCCTGGGAGCCAGGCGCCACAGGGCAGACCTAAATGACAGGCCCTGCAGCCATAAGGACTGTGACAGATCAGCCCAGGGTGACACGGCTGAGGATCCTTGGCCCAGCACTGGGGTTCAAGGAAGGCTTCCTGGAGGTGGTGTCATGAGAGTCCCGGGAGAGCTAGCCCTGCAGCAGGAAGGGACCCAGAGAGGGGAGAAGGAGGGCCTTATTGCCTGGGCCCCGTCGCGGGAACAGACTGGCATGGGGAGGAGGTAGGAGGGGTGGCTGGTCAGGCACTGAGGACCAGTGAGGTGAGGACACATCCTGGGGCCCCCTGGGCGCAGGACCCGCCGCAGCAGCCCACTCACCCGCTGGTATCTGCGGCTCAAGGCGAGGCCCCACCCGGCGCAGGGCAGCAGAAAGCCACGGCCCAGCCAGGCCCGTGGGCGCAGCATAGCTGCTAGTGGCCGGGGCCGGGACGCTGCGGACCAGGAGGGAGGCCCGCAGGCTGCTAGGGGCGGGCCGCGGCGCCCACCAGGCCGCGGGAGGGTCTTCGCGAGACTCCGGCCGCCCCGTGGCTGGTCTCCGCGCGCCGCCCGGTGGCCGAGCGTGGGATGGCAGCCCGGGCAGCCCGGGCTCGGGAGGACGCGGGTCTGTGCATAAAACTGGGCGGGACTCCGCAAGACCTAAACCAGCTGCTACCTGCCGCGCCGCCCCCCCGCCCCGCCCCGGAGGATCACCCTCATGGAAGGAACATGGAGGGTTGTGAGGATGTCAGAGCCGTGGGATGCCAGAGCCTCAGGTCGTTTTGTCCAACCCTTGCCATTTACAAATGAGAAATGCGTGAGCAGAAGGCATGGCTTATCCAAACCCATCTGGCCAGTGAGCTTGGGCTCTGCGGCTCTATCTCAAGGTCCTGTGCAAATCCCACCCACTCCAGGAAGGCTTCCCTGAATAATAAGGATGAGCCAACGTCGTGTCCTATCATGTACTTAACACACTTGTCTCATTTGCTACATTCAGCCAATATTTATTGAGTGCCTACTGCCTGCCAGGCACTCTGCTTAGGTACAGTGGTGGGTGGAGAGAGACCAGGCTCCTGCCCCTGTGTTGCTCAGTCTGTTGAAGGCGACAGAAGTGAATCTGACAGCCCACACATGAATGTACAACCACCCACTGTGAGAAGTGCCATGACTAAGTTTAACAAGGAGCCTGGTCGGTGGGAGAGGCGAGGCAAGGCAGGAGAGGCTTTCCTGAGGAAATCACACTTGTGTAGCAGCTGTGGAAGAACAAGAGGCTGGGGTCTGGAGAGGGCTGTGCTGGGGGAGTGCTGGGGGAGTGCTGGGGAAGCAGGAAGAATGGATGTGCAAAGGCCCTGTGGCATAGCAGTGAGTCAGGGCTGAGGAACTGGGGAAGGCAGGCATGGCTGCAGAGCAGAGAGCAAAGCAAAGAGAGATGGGAGAGATGATGTGAGTTCGGAGGAGGCCAAGCACCAGGTCCTGGAGGGATTCAAGAACTGTGAGTTAGGCATTTTGGTTGTTGATGAGAGAAGAAAGATAGTGAAGGACCCTGATCAGAGGAGTGACCCTACACATTGGAAAGGTCCCTCTGGCTTCCTGGTGGAGAACGGACTGAAAAGGGGCACGAGTGGAAACAAGATTGATTAGGAGGCCCTGGCAGGACCCAGCAGAGGGGGTGGAGGTCTGCATGTGGAGGCAGAGATCATGAGAAGAGTCTTGAGGCCTGTAGAGGAGGAGACATCCTCGGGATTCGCAATGAGGGAGAGGGAGGTGCCAAGACTGGTTTGCAGAGCAGGGCTTACCCCAAGGGGTGAGGCCATTTGCTGAGGAGGGGGCACAGAGAGGCTCAGGTGGGGGTTCATGAGGTCAGTTTTTGGGAGGTTGGTTGGAGGTGCCCTTGAGATACACATGTGGAGAGAACGTGGTGAGGAGAGGTTGGTCGGAGGAATTGGGGGGTTCAGTGTGCAGACAGGGCAGGCATGGAAGGGCCCATCCAAGGAGCAGCACAAGGAGAGAAGCAGGCACAGGTCTGGGCTCAGGGAACTCAGGGGTGCACCCATGGAACACAGAACCACCAGAGGGTCCAGGGAACACCAGGAGAGGGTGGGGTCCCAAAGGCAACAGGACAGAGTTGCAAGGAGGAAGGGTCCTCATGGTTGGATTCTGGGATAGCCAGGTGGGATGGGACAGAAAAAGACCTACTGGCTTCAGCAATGTGGGCCACTGGGTGGGCCCGACAAGACTGTTCTAGTGAGGTGGAGCTGGCTGCAGAAGCCGACTGGAGTGGGTCAGGAGGAGGAGAAAGGAAGGCGGCATAGAGAGGTAGCATGGGCACTTGATATGACGGGAAAGACGGAAAGACTTTCAAGATGGATGAGGCTAAATACAGCAAATATCAAGGGGAAGGATTTGGTTGAGAGAAGGCAATTCACAAGAAGGAGAGCAGAGATCTCTGAGAAGGTTGGGGGGTGTGGAGAAAGGTTAGCAGGAAGAGGGTCTGGTGGGTGTTCCCTGGAAGGAATGAGATTAAGATCAGAGAACAGGAAGCCTGTGAAAAAATTGAGGGTGATGCCAAAGCCAAAAGAGTGACCATGGGTAAGGGTAGCTGAGAGGTCAAGGTCATCCTCCTAAATAATGGAGTCACGCAGGGTTAAGCAAGATCTGGGTGAGATGGTGAGCCAAGACTGAAGCATTGTGAGAATGAGGTGGAGCCCAGCCCTGGGTGGAGGGCAGGCGGGACTGCCCAGTGCCTCCAGCCTCCAGGAAGGAAGGCTCTGACAGGAAGCAAATGGTCCAGAAGTAGCTATAGCTACAGGGAGCAAGGCTACAAATCTCTTCTTTGTGGGGGTCAGGCAGCACCCCTTGGGAGTCCTCAGGAAAGTCTACAAGGGAGAGCCAGGGTAGAAGAGGAGAGCCCAGATAGGGGAGGGGCAATAGGTTAAGTCAGCGACCAAGAAATATAGAGACCTCCCGGGTGTGTGTGGCAGAAGCCGGATGGGGGCACTGCCTGGTGAGACCAGGAATGAGGGGTATGACGGGCTCATTGCTCACGGGTAGTCTCTGAAGAAGGTGGGCCCTGGGCCGATGGACATTGGCATGGGAGGAGCCACACAGCAACCTCATAAGGAAAGAACTCTTGTTCCCGTTTGACAAGTAAGGAAATGGAGGCACAGAGTCATAGAGAGGTTAAGTAATTTACTCAAGGTCAGGGAGCATAACCACTTATTACGAAGTGATTATTATTGTTAAGTGCAAATCTTGGAGCAGAGTTTTGAACTCTGTCCGTCTGACTCCTCTAAGCAGGTGCTCTTGTCCATCCTGCCTGTAACAGTCACAGCCTCCCTCCCAACAAAGCAAAACACAAAAACAAAAACAAAGTAGCTTCTTTCTCCAGTCCCCCTTCCACTTAAGAAAGTGAGCAGCATTATAGCCACCGCGCCCCCCCCCCCGCCCTCCACTTCGGTGATTCTGGACTATGGAAGGCTGTTTTACCTCAGTGACCCAAAAAGGGGGTGGTGGCTGGTAGCCAGACCCTGAGCACTGAGGACAAATCAGTGTGAGGTGGTTCAGTGGCGGGAAAGCATTGAGGAGAAAGGGAATGTGGGTGACCATGGTGGCCTCTGGACGAGGTACCAGGCCCTGCCCCTTCTTCCCTTGGTTTCTCAGACCTTACATAAGCCCCTGGGAGGGGTCATGCTCTCTGGCAGGGTTGGGATTGAATTTCTTGCCCTAGTGTAGGAAGGTGGGAGAGGGTAGAGCCAGATTTAAGGTGACTCAGTAAAACAAAGGAACACCAGGGCTCCAGTGCCGGGGCTGTCTCCCCACTGAGTTCTAAGCTCCTGGAGGCCGCTTTGCAATTCTTGGATCCCTCCCAGGTGAGCCCGGCACTTTGTTCATAACAGGTCAATATTTGCAAATGAAACCTGGGGCCCAGCCTGGGAGCTCAGGGCTGTGGAGCCAGACAGTCTGAATCCCAGCCCCAAGTCCTTGCTAGCTTTGTGACTTTGAGCATGCCGCTTAACCTCTCTGAGCCTGTTTCCTCCTGTATAATATGTGAGCAAGACCAAGGGCCATGCACTTGGTTTAATGCTCTGCTGCCCCCGTTTTGAAATTCTTAGTTTGGAACTAGGGCCCCGCCTCTTCAATTTTGCACCGGGCCCCACAAATGTTGTAGCCAGTCTTGGGTGGGAATAGCATTATCTACCTCAGACGCCTGTTGTAAGGATTAAATTAAATAATCTGTCTAAAGTGCTTAGCACAGAACGAGTGCGTAAAGAATGGGAACACCTGCGTATTGTTCCCTGCCATGAGATCATCCCCAGTGCTGATCTGTGGTAAATGAATGAAACGAGAGCATGGGCGAGAGCCTGGGGAGCATCTGGAAGCGAAGGTGCCAGGCTGTGAGGGTTGTACGGAAAGTGGGAGCATTTTTGCACCCCACACTGCGGAGCACTCGTTTCTACGGCAGCCGGAGATTCGCGCTGTGGTCCTGACCCAGCCGCCACGCCTCGCAAAAAGTCCACCGGGTGGGATTTGAGGAAGCGGGCTCCAGTCTTCACCATGCGGGCGTGCTCTCAGCCCCGAGAAGTCTTCAGTCTCGGGCCCCTGGGAGGGGCGGAGGGGCGGCGGAGGCCAGGACGAGGGTCTGCGCTGGCCGCGGGGCGGAGTCTCAGCCGTTCCGGGCTTCCTGGGGCGGGTCCTGGGGCGAGAGCCCCGCCCCACCCCGCCCCGCCCCGCACAGGGTGGGGGGCTCGGGAGCCTGCGCCGCGGGGGCGGGGCGGGGCTGCGCTCAGAGGAAGGGGTTGGTGCCGGCCTGTTGGGGCGGCTGGAGTGGCCCGGCGGAACCCGACGTAGGCAGCAGTGGCTGCGGCAGCCTCGCGGGCGGCGGCGTGAAGGCGCCCGCCTGCGGGAAGACGCTCACCGAGGCGGGGAGGGTCACGCCGGCCGGCACGCTGCTGAGCGGAAGGGGCAGGGAGGCGCTGTAGGTCATGGAGCCCAAGGGCGCCCCGACCGGCCCGCTGGCCGCCAAGCCCAGCGCCGGCGACCCCGTGCGCATCTGGTTCAGGGTCGGCCTCGCCTGCTCGCCCGCACCGAAGGGGTTGGTGGGGGATGGAGCGCTGAGACCTGCGGAATGAGAGTGGGTGGGGAGCTTGGGGTTCACGAGGGGACAGCCCTAAATGCGGGTGTGGGTGGGGTGGCGGGGAGGCAAGATCTGGAATCTCAGAAATAGGGAAGAAGAGTAAGATTTTTAGGGCAGGGGCCGGGCTCTGAGAAGAGTGATGGAGAGAGTAGGGGGGTGGGCAGTGTTGAGACCCTGGTGGGGACAAGGGGTATCCTACCTGTCAGGAAGGGGTTTCGGGTCTTTGCGGCCTGGGGCGCCTTGACTAATGAATCAAGGTTGACCAAAGAGGAGGCTGAAGGGCCCAGGAAAGACTCTGGAGTCCGGCATGCTCGGGCCTCCTGGCTGGGCTGGGTTAGCGTCTCCCCCAGTATAGCCAGGTCAAAGGCATCTGGCTCCTTGGTGCCATTTTGCTTGGAACTGGGGATGGGGTCTCCAAACAGGTCCAGCTCTGGAACAGAGATGACAGAACTCATTGGTAGGGAGAGGGAATGGTCACTCTGTGGGAAGGAGAGGACAGCGGTCACTTGTGAGTGGCCCCCTCATTCCCCAGAGCTGTATCATCCCCTGCCTCCTGCTTACCGACGGGACTGCTGGGCTTCCCAGAGGGCAGGGCCTGCGCACACTCTGGCCCCTCCTTGGTCTCTGTGGATACTGGAGGTTTGGCAAATGGGTCAAAGGGTGAGGTACCACCTAGAGCTGGCCAAGGAGGAAGAGGGAGAGGAGGTGGGTTGACAAAAAGGGCAGGCACTGGTCTGACCCCTTTCAGGCAAGCAGCCCTCTTAACACGGACAGGATGTGCTGTCCCTTGGCACTGGAGGGAGGGGACCCAGAAGTCCTCCAGCCCCTCACCCATACCCTCTGGCCCTCTGCTTACCAGGTGCACTGGAGATCTCCACTGAGGTCCCCCAAGGGTCAGCCCCAGTGTTGGGGAGCTTGTGTTGGGGGGAGTTCTGTGCCCAGAGGTCTGTGGAAGGGGGTCTGGCGGGCAACACTGGGGTCCGGCCCCAGGGCTCAGAGGAGGAGAGCATAGGGGGCAAGTCCCAGGGCTGGCTTCTGGACAGGTTGCTTCCTGAGGGAACAGGAGACCAGGGGTCTGCAGAAGGCCCCCAGGAGGAGCCACTGGGCTCTGTGTTCGGCCTGAGACCTAAAATAGGAACAGCACAGACATGACGTCAGGCCCACCTTTATACCCAGTCCAGGGCCCTTCCCAGTTACCCAGACCAAGTTGGGAGGCTAAGGGTCTCATCTCACAAATGAGATGCTGACTCAGGACTGATCCAGCAAGCTGGAGCCCCTGTTGACCATGTTGACCAAGTTATGCCAGGAGCCTGGACTCCCAGGGATGGGCAGTTCAGGCCACCTTCCCAGTCAGGGATGGGCTGGGGCCGGAAAGCCAGGGTGACCAGTGGAAATGAGAGAACATCTCTGAGTTTTCCATGAGGTGGTCTCTTCAGACGTGCTCTCACATCCCTCACTACAACCCCACGTCCCAGAGGAACCTGAGGCTCAGAGGGGTGAGTGACTTGCCAATGGTCCTCAGCTATGGGGAGGAGGTGCCAGCAAATGGCTGGAAAGGAAGGGGCTTTCTGGGGCCAGCCTGGGAACATCTTGCAGCCCTGCATGCCCACCTGGGATGTCCCATGGGTCAGCGGAGCAGTGGGTGGAGGGCGGGGCCGGGGTGGGTGCGAAGATGTCTGCCAAGTCCAGGATGGAGGACTGTGGAGTGGGAGAGGCAGCCGTGGCTCAGAAGTGGGTGAGACCAGAGGAAGGGCGGTCCCTGGCCTGTCTCCCTCAGTCCAGCTCATTCTTTCCCTTATTCATTTCACAAACATCTACTGATGATCCCTCATCTCTGTACAGTGCTTTGTAGCTTATGAAATGTTTCCTCATCCATTTAGTGCCTGATTTTCATAACAACCCTGTGCAGGAGGTCGTGCGGGTAGTGGTGTGCCCATTTTACAGATGCGCCAGCTGAGGCCCAGATAGTGGAGATGCTTTGCATGAAGTCACACAGCTGGGGAGAGGCAGAGCTGGGATAAACCCAGGCCTGCCTGACCCCTTCCTCAGTTGTCCTGATCCCCAGCCCGTTGGTGATAAAGACAGGTTTTATGACCAGTCTGCCTTCCTAGGTCAGAAACTAGCCACCATGAACATGGGCAGAAAGGGGACAGACACACCCTAGGGTTAGCATCCACTACTTTGGAGGGTAGCTTTGTTCCCAGCAGCTACCTACTCCCCTGGCCTTGGACAGTATGTGTATAAGCCCAAGATACTGTTAGTACCACGTGCCTGTGCCCCCGCCCCTGCCCCAGGTGCATCCACAGCATCACGTGTAATCCTAGAACACCAGAGGTGGAGCTGTCCAATAAAAGGGGGAAAATGAGGCTATAACAGTGATGTGCCCCAAGTCAGAGTGGCAGCAAATCCAGAATCCAGGGGCCTCAGATCAGGATTCTTTGTATCCCACTTTGCTGTCTGCTCAGTCATCAGCCCGCGAGGTCTGAGACTGGGGACTACTGCACCCCTCCACTCCCAGTTTCATTCAATAAATGCCTAAACAGCCCTTACCGTATATGAAGTGTGGTTCTAAGCTCTACAAATACCAACTCAGTTCCTGTCGCAGGCTCAGTCAGCCCAGGCACGGCAGCCTCCCCCTACCTGGCTGGTTTTCAGCTTCTCCTCCTCCTTTCTCTCTTCTCTCTCTGGCTCTTTGTCTTGCCAATGGCGGACCGCGGCCCCAGCACCATTGGCCACAGGGGAGTCATCTCCCCGCCAGGACCTCACCTCCTGCAGAAGGCAAGAGGAGTGAGGACAGCATGAGCAGCCCAGGCTGGACTTGAGGGGACTGGAGCTGGCGTTGAGAAGAGTACAGTGAGAGAGAGGTTAGGCATAGCAGGACCACTGGGTGAAGCAGGAGAAGCCTGGTTAGTGCCTGTGTAGCACCTGCACCAGCCCCTGCACCTGCTCCTACACCAGCCTCTGCACTTGCACCTGCTCCTACACAAGCCCCTGCATTTGCACCTGCTCCTACACCAACACCTGCACCAGCACAGGAGGCTTGGCCCGCTACCTTCTCATGCTCCTGCCGGCTCAGACGCAGAGCCAGCTGCAGCTGTAGATCCTCATCCCTGTGGGATGCTGGGGGGACCGGCTGTGAGGGAGGAAGAGAGGGGTGAACAGGGCCCAGTGCTCCCACTCCCAGGTGGGAGGGCAACATAGCCCGGCAGGGAGAAGGGGATGGAGAGAGAAGTGCCCACCTGGGGTGGGGGTGAGAGGCCCATTCCCAGGCAGCAAGGTGGGTGTGGCCTTCTCCCTGCCTGGATCTGCAACCAGTTTCAAAATCCAGAAGACTGATCCTTTTCTTCTGGGTTCTCTGAGTGCCCCCCCAAAAGCCCTGCCATGGGAGGTCCAGCTGCCTGCCCAGTCTACCTGAATCCACAGAGGTGATGGCAGAGAAGATGATATTGGGGGGTGTCCCTGTCCCCCCAAAAGGACAGCTGGTGCCAGGGGTTGTGGGGTCAGTTTATCTCTGTGCCCACTCACTGCTTCCCTTCCATGGGGCCACAGCAGGCCCAGGAGACACACAAGTACCCTCAACCAACTAGGCACTCATGGCCTTTTCTAGGCCCCACCAGAAGGGACGGGAGGCAGGGAGGCAGTCCTTGCCAGAACAGTCGCAGGGACAAGGACAGGCCTGTGCTGTCCTTGGGAGTCGGGCCGGGGTCTTGGGACCCAGAGTGAAGGAGCCTGGGAGTCAAGGGTGCGGTCCTTTGGGGTACCCTTCTTTGCTCCCCATCATCCACCCCCCATGCCAATCCCAGCCCGGCTGTGGGGCCTCCCAGGCTACCCCAGGGGCCTCACCTTCTCAGCCTCCTCCCGGCTCATGGCCAAGGCCAGCTGCAGCTGCAGCTCCTCTTCTCCCGACGTCTGGGGCCGGGCCTGCTCCAAGTCCGAGGTATAGCGGGGGGATGAGGAGGAGGCTGCAATGACCACACCGACGGCTTCTGTGACCACAGAGGTGCCCGTGCCCTCCCCTCCCCCTCCCCACCAGGAAGCTAAGGCTCAGAGGGAGAAACTAATGACTGGCCATTGAAGGCTCCAGGGGGCCAGGCGGCGTGCCTGGCGCTTTGTGTAAGGTTTGCCAATCTGTCCCATCAGAGACTCCCGTCCCTACTTTACAGATGTGCCAATAGCTCAGGGTGGCCTGGCTGGGGTCCTGAGGTAAGGCTCAAAGCCAGGTCCCCTCCTCCAGCTCCTGCACTCTTCCAGTAGGGGGAGGGGGTCCCATCCTGCCTGGGGTCCAGTGAGGGGGGAGGGTTCAAGGTTCCAGTCAGTCAAGGCCACGCCGTCAAGAGTCCAGAACGGCTCTGCAGCCACCCCTGTTTTCAAGGACAGTGCCCTTGAGCAGGGGGTCACGAGGAATGCCCCGATGGAGTGCCCAGTGCCATGTGTCTGGGCACAAGGCCAAGGGCATTCCTGGGCTTGGTCTCGCTTGATTCTCACATCCAACAACTGGAGAAGATAAGATTTTCCCTAATTCAGATGAGGAAGCAGAGATTCAGAGAGGCAGCCCTCTAGATCACTCAGCTGGAAGAGGCGCAGAATACGGCATGTACCAGACCAGAGCCTGGGCTGTGGCCACCACTCCCCCTGGGCAGCTCCCGGACCAGCAGTTAAGATCCCGCTGTACGGTAACTTGCAGGCCACCCGCTGTGCCAGGCACCTGCCTTCCCTGGCTCCATCCCCCATCTCCCTGAATGCGACAGTCCTTGGAACCTGGGCCACCCCCCCAGCTCCAGCCTTGGGGCTCACTCACAGTTGTAGGAGGACGGGGAACCGCGAGAGCGTCCGAGGCCCAGCTGCCCGCTGCCAATGCCCGTGCCCTCCAGTGCCATGCGCTCCTTGGTCTTGAGGGCATGGGTCCGCTCCTGCCGGAGGCGCTCCTCGTCCTTGAGCAAGGCCATCACCTGCTTGACCTTCTCACGCACGTTGACACCCTGGTCCTTGCCGTCCCGGTCGATGTACTGGAAGTCCTTGAGCGTCTGGATGGTGTAGAGGTTCTCGCGGCACTGGTGGGCCACCCGCTCAGAGCCCGTCTTGAGCAGGTAGTCCAGCAGCGTCAGCGCCTTGTACACGTGCCGCCAGTTCTTGCCGCTGTCGTTGAGCCGCCGCCACAGCATGCCCATGACCTCTGCGAAGGCCACTGTGTTGAAGGTCAGGTCGGCGATCTCAGACATGAGCGAGCTGGGCGGGCCCCATGGGTCATTGCTGGTGGCCTCGCGCACCTTGATCTCTGCCTCCGAGTAGTTGTGCACGATGTTCTTGACCTGGCGCCGCAGTGCGGAGGTCGTCATGGCTGGGGACTTGGAGATGGGCGGCCCCCGCTCCAGCCAGAGGTGGAGGGCCGAGGGCCACCGTCTCGAGGTCACGGTCTCCAGAGATGGGCCGCCGTGTTCTCAGCAGGGCGGCTGCATCCTTGGTTCCACATGGGTCTGAGCAAGAGAGAGACAGAACTCAGGGGTGATGGGCCCTCCCTGACAGCCACTCAGCCATGGACCGAAGGCCTGGCCAGGGGTCCCCGTGGCCAGGAGCCCCCCTCTGGCTGGCATTTATTTTTATATTTCTTATTTTACATATTATTCAGCAGGCACTTCTAGTTCCGTGTGCTCATTGCTGGTCACAGTCACACCACAAAGATGAGATTATTACCTCGGTTCACAGACGGGGAAGTGAAGTTCACAGAGCTACCCACACGTTTCTCCCCTATCCAGCCCTTGCCCTTTGCAAGACACATGAAAGTCACCCCCAGGAATGCCTGCCTGCCCTGCTCCTGAGGGGCTTATGGCTCCCATGTCTGCCGGGAGCTAGCTTAGGACCTATCCTTTCCAGCTCCTTCGCCCCCACTCTTGCCATTTCTCACAGCATAAGTCTGTGCACCTTAATTCATTCAACACCTAGTTCCTGGGGCCTTCTTTGAGCCTGACACTGAGCCAGACCCAGAGCACAAGTCCTGGCCCCCACACATCAAGCTGCAGGGGCACAGACTTGTGCCATGCTCAGGAGTACCCAAGCTAGGAAAATCAGGGGGGACTTCCCAGTGGAGGTGACAGCTGGAGGTCTGAAGGGAAGGGGAAGCAGCAGGGTGAGGAAGGATAGCTCCCAGGGGATACTTGAGCTGGGCCAGAAGCCCAGAGAGGAGTCCGGGGCAGGAAGTGGGCCCTGGCCTCTCAAAGAGACCTAGTCACTGCCACCCCTGTAGTACACAGGAGAGCACTGAGGTCAGGGAGGGGACATGGACTGCCTACAGCGGTGTATAAGCTGGGCAGAGCTGGGACCAACACCTAGGTCTCTAGAGACAAATGTGATACTTATTGACAGGGTTACTGGTTTTGTAATTAATTCATCTGATTGCTTTATTGTCTCAATTCCATCTCAGCCAGGATGTAAGCTCCCTGAAGGCAAGGCTTGGTCTGAGCACCCCAAACCTGAGGTCCTGGGTGCACGGCAGACCCCTGATTCCCCAACCGAGCGGGAAACAGGGTCAGCCTGCTACCCTCCCACCCCCAGCTTCAGGACCAGGCCATCTGGGGAAATCAAACTCAGGCTCAAGACAGAAAAAGGCTTTCCCAGGGCCCTACCAGAAACCCAAACCAGAATCCCCCTACCACAGCTGTTTCTCTCATATGGGTATATACACACACACACACACACACACACACACACACACATCTACATACAGGCTGGACCCACAGAGTGTCCACACCACCTGTGACCCCCCACCAATATCACCACCCATGGAGACTGCACCTCTCCAGTCTACCGTGGGAGTCAGAAGCTGCCTGTCCTGCCCCCCCCCCCCAAACTGGACTTCCCCTCCACCCAGCCTGGCTAGTCCTGGGCTCAGGTCAAACCAGCCAGCAGGCCTAGGCCGGCTTCTTCAGGGCCCAGGTGCCTGGGAGAGCTTGGGCCCAGAGGAGGGGATCCCATGGGACACCAGGCAGATGGAATGCTGGCTAAAAGCCTGCCTACCTTCTGTCTGCTGTCTGTCCGTCCAGCCTGGCAGGCCTTCTGTGGGGATGCCAAGGCCAACGCTTGTTTAAGTCCTGCCCTCCCCCTCACTAGTGACTCAGACCCATCTTTCCCTCCCTAACCGGTGGGCTGGAGGGTGGCAAGAGGCAAGAAGAAATAATTGTGCCCCACAGCCCGCCCTGAGTGCACGCCCCTCCCAGGGCTGGCCACAGAAACCAGCTGAACCAGTCCGACATCCTGACTCCACCAGCAGCCCTACCAGAGCCTGGCTTCCCCGGCCCTCCAGCCCAGCCTTGGGTACTGGGAGGGGCCCTCAGCATGGACCCTGCAGCCCTGCCTGGACTCTCCTTCTAGAAGGGGGGATGGTGGAGCCTTCTCAGCACACCTTTGCTGGAGCTGGGGGAAGGGAGGGATCAGAAGCCCCAGGAAGGTGCCTGGGCTTCCCTCCCTTAAAGTTAAAAGGGACAAGGTGGGGAGGAAAAGGGGGGCAGGGTGAGGCCCAGGGAGCATGGAAAGGAAGGGAAGGAACGCGGGAGGGAGCAGCTGGGAGCCCTGCCAGCGGTGTTACAAGCCCAGAGTTTTATCGAACACAATATGCCCAGAAATAAAAGGGAGTGAAACAGAAACCCAGCAGCCAGTGGCGGCAGCGGCAGGCCCGGGCAGGCGGGTATGGAATTACTGCAGTGACCTTGAGCCAGACCCTGTCAGGTGGAGGGAAGGACACTGAGAAGGCAGAGCCTGAGAGGCTCATTCAGACATGGGGTGGAGGTGGCCTCCCCTCCCCAGAGGCAGGAGGGTAGGGGGCAGAGTGGGGAGGGTTATACTGGGGGGTGGGGACAGGCCACGGGGTACAAGTCTCTGCTCTCTGCTTTATAGAGGGTGCCAAAGAGAACTTTACAGGGTACAGGGGGTTCTTTTCTAGGACTGGGGAAAGTGTCAGGGCAGGAAGTAGAGGGCATCCCCGGAGCGGGGATTCAGGGAGAAGGAGAGAGCTTAGATATGTTGAGTCACGTGCAAGAGTTTGGCCAAAGTGTGAGTGTACCCCACCAGCCCGGAGCGCCTCCAATCCTCCGCTAAGGCAGCCCCACCCCCTGCCCCACATCGGGTCAAAGGGAGCCATGGGCGGGGGTCGAGGGGATGGGAATGAGTAACTCTTGCCAGTGGATGGACAGGTGTGTGAGCTAGAGCTCTAAGCTTAAGTCAGCCCTGAAGTGGCTGTGTCCTGGGACCCTGGAATGGGGTGGGAGAGGCCCCGGGGCTGAGGAGGAGGGGCGGGCAGAGGGGAATGGGAGTACCCCTGGGAATGCCACCAAAGATGCTGGCCCCAGGGTAGGGAGCCAGGCCTTGAGTCTTGCTTCCTGAGGGCTGCAGGGAGGGAGGGAGGGGCAGCAGGCAGGAAGCATCCAGGATCTTCTGTGGCTCTGTCCTCCTCACCCTTCTCCCTGGGATCTGGGAGGGAGACTAAGCCCCAAGCCTTCCATGAGAGGCACCGCGGCTGCCAGGGAGGGGCCGTCTTACCTCTGGTGCAGACTCCCTTGGCCCCAGCCCTGGGACTGTGAGCAGCCTCTGCAGTGACCTTCCGACCCGCTCGGCAGGGAGACAGCACAGCCTCGGGAGCGTCCCCAGAGCCATCCACCATGGACCCGTGTCCTGGAGATGCCCACCCTCTCCCAGGAGGCGCAGACCCCTTGGAAGGGTGGCGGCAGGGTCCCCAGAAAGGGCTGCGGCTCTGCCTCTTGCCAGCTGGTGTTTTAGCTGCTGGGCCGGCAGGCAGGCAGGCTGCACTCCGAGGAAAGTTGCTCAGCTGGCCGGGCAGGTCTGCCTCAGCAGTAACAGGACACAGGAGGAAGCGCTGCGCTTGTTAACCCCTTCCTGCTGGCTGGGCAGGCGGCACCTTCAGGGGTGGGAGGCCTGCCAGCTGGCTGTCCCTGGGAGGCACAGATCCAGAGTCGGGGCTGGTGGCCCACTCCCACCCTGCAGCAAGTTAACCCTTCCCCTGCCTCAAAAGGAAATTGGGTGGGGGGCGCAGGGCTCCAACACCCGCCCCACTCCTACCCATCTCCACTGGGCCAGGAAGACCATTGGCGGGGAGGGCAGGCCCTTTGGTGCATTTGTTTTTTGTGAGCTCCCCCTGGCCCCCTGAAGGGCGCATCCAGGCTCCAGGCTTAGCCCCTCTCTGCCTCTGAGAAGCGAATGACCTGCTCTCTCCAAAGCTCCTCCCACTTTCAACTAGAGGATGCTGAAGCCTGTGAGGTTTTTATCAGAAGCGCCAAATGCAAAATCCAGCCAAATGCAAAACCGAGCTGGTGGGAGGCTGCGGCCACCTCTCCATCTCCCGCCTACACCTCTGCCCCACCAGCACTTAAGGCCCTGAGCCCCGAATAGCCAAGTTGCTCTCTGAACTCTGGGAGCCGGGAGCCCACTCAGCTGAAAGCCATCTGGGAACTGAGTCTGAGCTGAAAGCTGCCTTTCCTTTCCAGGAACCACCTCTTGTCCCCTTCCCATTTCTCTGAACAAGAGGGTAAGCATAATGTCCAGAGGCTGTTTTTCAGGCAAAAAGTGGTTCCAGGGGGGCCAACCATGAGGAGGGGATGAGACAGGCTGCCGAGGACATGAGGATCTGGCCTCTAGGGTCCTACAGTGTGGTTAGCATGGTCCACAGAGACTGGGACCTGGCCCTTGACCTAGTGGAAGTGGGAGAATCTCAGGGAGCCAGGCCCCATGGGATCCAGTTCTCCTGGTCTCACACTTGGTCATGCTGGGTGATGACACTTGGGGAAGACCTGGTTCCAGGAAGCGTGACTCCAAAAGTGTGAGCCAGTAAGGTCAGAGGCAAGGATTTCAAGGGCTGATGCTCTCTGTCCTGTCACCTGATTCATTCCTTATCCTGGTGCCAGCCTGCTCTTCCGCTCATTATCCCACACATCACCTTCCAGGTGTGTCTCTCTTTCCTCCTGTTGGATGGCTCCGGGAACTAGGAGGAGGAGAATCTGAGGCAGGTGGGACACAAGGGACCCTGGCCATGAGCTGCCCTCATCAAGATCTAACGTCCAAGACGTGACGGCCTAAAGGAAGTGGTGGGAACGTGAAGGTTCTTTATTGATTTGTTTGTGAACCAGTTTCCCAGAAGGCCCCTGGGGCACATGAGTCAGGTGCAAAGACGCAAAGTCTCCTCGACATCCTTTACGGGTCTGAGCTCATCAGCCAGGACCATCAGGTCAGTCACTAGGGTGTCCAGCAGCCCGTAGACCTGGAAGAACGGAGTGAAATCACAGGCAGAGGTTCGCTTTGTGGAAGGCACCCCACAAGCCAGCACCCAGCACACGATGCGGGCAGAGGGGTCTACACCAGGACGTCAAGCCGCAAAAGGGGTAAAACCACACCTGCAGAGTTTCTACAGAACTTTTGTTTTGGCAGGTAGTTTTATTTTTTAAACCATCTGAGGAAGTAATCCTGCACCAGGCCCTTGGGACATATGGGGGCACAAGAGCCTGGAGTGGTGAAAGGGGTAATTCCAGGGAGCAGTACCCATTTACCCCCCCCCCCCCCCCGGTGGTGGGCCAGCTCTACCTCGGCCACCCAGAGGCCAGCTTTCCTTCTGGTAAGATCACAGACCCTCAGACTGAAATGTCTCCAGGGTGGTGCCCTCCTGTGGGGCTGGAGCACATGAGCCTGGGCAGGCGGCTTCTTCACTGCAGACAGCCCTTGGACTCCTATCTACACCCCATCAACCTTCAGACATCGCGTGATATCACCAGCAGCAAATGGGACTTCTGCTCAGATGTGATCCAGAGCGTTACCCCAGTGTACGTGACACGGTCCCAACTATCTAGCTGTCCACACCGGAGGCAGGCAAAGTGCCGCCATCAGACACGGTGACAATCAAGTGTGGCTTTGTGGACCTGTCCTCTGAAACAGTAACAAAGAATGGAACACATACTCGGATGAACCTCTAAGACTTGCGGCTTAAGAATAAACCAGCATCGGGGCGCCTGGGTGGCTCAGCGGGTTAAGCCTCTGCCTTCGGCTCAGGTCCTAATCCCAGGGTTCTGGGATCGAGCCCCGCATCGGGCTCTCTGCTCAGTGTGGGGCCTGCTTGCCCCTCTCTCTTCCTGCCTGCCTCTCTGCGTACTTGTGATCTCTGTCAAATAAATAAATAAAATCTTAAAAAAAAAAAAAAAGGAATAAAAAGAATAAACCAGCATGCATGTTCTCCAGCATGTCACAACCCTTACACTTGCTGGAAAGTCACTCTATGTGCCGCTCCCTGCCGGGACTTCTCTGCCAAGACGCGCCTCACACAGACAGGAAGTGGGAGCTGCAGAAAGGAAGGGGCTTCTGGTCCATCCCTCTGGTCTTCTAAGTCAGACTGTGTCACTCCTCCAGTCAAACCTCTGTGGACTCTTCATCTCACTCAGAAAAACCCCAAGTCCACACGGTGGCCTACAGAGCCCCACCTGCCCTGTGACTTGTTCCCTTTCGGTGGCTCTGCCCTCTGTCCTCCCGGCCCACTCCCTCCCCTGGGTTAGCTGGCCCCTCTGCCCAGGGCGCTCTTCCTCGATGGCCACAGGGCCACCCCGCACCTCCCTTCGAGTCTGCTCGATGTCACCTTCTCAGTGAAGCTCCCCCACCCCAACCCAGGCCTTCCCTACCCGCTGGCCTGGGTTATCCCTCGCTCTTCCAGAATGCTTGCCACCCAACACACGGGGCGTGTCGCTTATGCATGAGGCCTGTCTTGCACACCGGGATGCCCTTCACAAGGGCAGCTCTGCTTCCGCCTTCCAGCAGGACACACTAGGGTTGACTGTTTGTGGAATAAGCGGGATGGATGAGGGGGGGGAGGAAGGTCCGCAGAGTGGGTGTGAGCAAGGGGAGGTCTGGGCGCAGGGCTCAGGCCCTCACCTCCGTGTGCAGCCTCTTGGTGTACTTCTCCATGACCAGGGGATCTATGGGTTCCTGGGAAGGGGTCGTGCTGTCAGGGACAGCGTCTTCCAAGGAAAGCCTGTCCCGACTTGAGGATTTCATTGGTTTCTTGTCATCCTTCGCCTTGTGCTTCTTGCTGTTTGCACGGTCCTGCTTGGAGAGACAGACACACACACGGCCTTCAGGAGTCCCCAGGGGAGGCCCAGGCCTTTCTCAAGAGCCAAGGCGTCATGCTAGACTGAGTGCCCTGCCTGCCACAGCTCCTCTGATGCCGCCCCAGCCCCACTGGGGGCCCACCCTATGTCCCAGCATGCCTCTTTCCCTGGCAACTTGGCTGCTTTTCTGTCCTCTTTGATTCCCAGCTGCTTCTTTTCCTGGGCTGTGCCTTTACGGTCCTCCTTCCCAAATTTCGTGGTAGTCATTTTCCCTTCTGTGCCAGGAGACTTTCGATCTAAGGGAGGGTGAGTGGAAGACAGTGTGACCTGGCCTCATGGACCCCACACGCAGGGTTGGAAAAGCCAAGCATCCTCAGCCCTTGTGCCCCCAGGAAGGAGCAGAGCTCCCAGTCCAGGCACATGAGCTGCGCGGTGGGGGTGGGAGGCCTGGTTCCAGTCCCAGCTCCCCCACCGCTCCATCTATGGCATGGGCAAGTCATTCGACCTCTCTGGGACTCCACCTCTAAAACCAGGGGACTGGACAAAGGTGGTCACTCAGGTCACTTCTAAGTCCCAAATCCTGGCAGTAGACAGGTGGGTTTAATGGGGCCAACTCCAAGGATCAACCTGACAGAGATCCCACGAGATGGGCGTGCAAGGGGGCGAGGCTACGCAGTGCATGGCTGCAGTCTGACCTTGCTCCTCCGGGATGTCCAAATAGATGGTCTCCTTCTCAGGCAGGCCCAGCAGAGCCCTCAGCCACAGGGAATGGCTCACCAGGCCATCGATCACATCCCGCCACAGCTGCAAACTAGAGAGCAAGGCATACTGGACCAAGCCATCACCCCTCATTTGCCTTTGAACGTGTGGAGGCGTGGGTCCTTCCCTTCTAAGACAGGAGTGCTGGGGGCTACCATGGAGGGGGCTGGCAGCCTCACCAGCACCTGTGCCAGCGCTCAGGTAGGGATCCAGCTTCCCTCAAGCAGCAGTCAGGGAAGAGTGGCCCAGGAGACAGTTAGCTTAAGACCCTGGCTATGCTTGGGCCCAGCCCAACGGGCCCCACCGAAGGCACCCACCCATAGCCAAGCAAGTTCCACAGGAGAAGCGAGGCTTTTTGTGCCCTTGCTGTGCCCCTCTCCTCACTGCCCTCTGGTTCCTCCTTGGCCCATTCCTCTGCTCACTGAGAGGGAACTGGGCAAGAGGACGGTAGAGAGACTGGGCACTTGCTCTGCTCTAACTGCTCTGGAGGGGGCAGGCTGCTGGGGGGGCTGCTGTGGCAGGTGGCAGAGCAGGGAGCGTCTGCAGCACCTTTCTGCACCTGGGCTCAAGGGGCATGCCCAGAACCACAGGCTAGATGGGGCTAGAGACCACAGTGGGGAGGCAGGGCTGGCTGGGTGGGGGGTACACTTACCACACCTGGTGCAGGAAGTCAGACTGCAGAGGCCTCTGCTCCTGGCACAGCTCCAGGGCTGCTTTATTGAGCCTGATGAGGCCATCTTCCTTCTGGCTCTCCTCCGGGAGTGCCATCACTGCCTGGCAGGGTCATAAGTACCATGGGCAACTGTCCTGCATGGGACACCGGGGTCCCTGCGTCCTCTAGTGACAGGGCTGGTGCTGTGAGGACAGACGGCCAGGAGCAGGTGCAGCCGTGGAGAGGGGACACCCCCGGAACCATGTACCCATGAACCCTCTTCTCCAAGGTGTGTTTGGGTCAGAGAGGGAGTCCCCCTCACTGCACCAGGGTGGCTTAGGCACCCAAGACCAAAAGAGATGACCCAAGAGACTGCTTCCCCTGGGCCCTCAGAAGGGTCTCTTTGTCCATGGGGGCCTGGGGGCCTGCTGGGGTCCTCCCTCCATGCCCTGGCACCCAGCCCAGGACCGCAACCCCACCCACCCCTGCAGAGTCAGGCAATCACCTTTCTGAAATCCTCCAGGCAGAGGTTCCACTCAGGCGGGGGAAAGCCATCTGGCTCCCAGGGGCTCTTTGTATTCCTCAGGTCTGGGCTCTCCCCAACCAGGATCTCCTCCATAATGCTCTTCCGTTGAGCAGCCCGGGCCCTGGCTCCAGGCTTCTGGGAGCCCAAAGCATCCCGGGAGTCCCTCCGGGCCTCATTCTCCTGCCGGGATGGCTGGGATTCGGAGACTGGGCCCTTCAAGTGTGCTGAAGGCTCCCTGTTCAGAGGAGGCTTCTCCAAGGTGGCTGGCAGGGGCACAGCTGGCTGGGCCCTGGGGCTGAGGTGCTCCTCCTCGCTGGGCCGGACCTCCTCGGCCTTGGGGGGCACGACCAAGTACTGGCGCCACAGGCTGTGCAGGCTTTGCACCACTTGGTGCTGGTAATGCAGCTGCAGTGAAGGCAAGTAAAGCCACCTAACGGGGAGATGGTGGGGGAGGGGTCCCTAGAGTCCCGGGGAGCCTCCCCCGTTTCCCCTCCCCAACTCACACCCCCAGAGTATGGATGGAGGCTACAGGGAAAAAGCCTGCAGGAGCCTCTGTGGCCAGAGCAGCTCCTCAATTCTTTTCGCCTGAGTATCTCTGACTTCCAGCTTTTTTTGTATTTGCATTTCCAAGCAAGATGGGGTTTGAATGAAGGAGTCTGCGAAGCTCTATTCTGGCCAAGCATCCACTTACCTGCTAAGTAATCTTGGGCAAATGACTTAATACCGCCCTGGGCCTCAGTTTCCTTACTGTAAAGTGAGGATCTAAATAGTACCCCCCCCCAGCCCCTAGCTACTGGGAGGAGAAAGTGAGTTACTCATGGCAGACGCTCAGAACAGGCCCAGGGTTGGGGGGTTGGGGGGGGTGTGAGGGCGCAGGGGCCAGCACTGTACCCGAGGATTCCTATGGTGGAACAAGTCCTCCTCCGTGAGATAGGCGTCGACAGGGGACTGTGCGCGTTCCGGGGTCAGGATCCCACTCAGCAGCTCCTGCAGCACGCTCTCCACGATGGTGACCGCTTCTTGGGCAGCCAGCTTGTTCTGGGGACAGGAAGGGGAGACAAGATGGCAGCTCAGCCTTTTGAAACCCGTGTTGCCCCTTTGAGGGGAGCCAGAGCCCTTAGGACTTTGTGCCTTCCTAGGGGTTGAGCTCCTGCCACCATCTGTCTGTCTGTCTCTCTCTCACACACGCACTCCTGTTCCCAGACTCAAAATCCCTGGGTATCTCCAGATATCTGACAGGATGTAGGGGGGAAGCAGTCCAGGAGATGTTGCTCCCTCATGGGGCCAGAGGTCACTGAGTCAGCATTTTCCCCAGGTTAGGAAGAAGGGCAAGGGGCAGGGGCCACACGGTTTGGGCCCTGTTGCGAGCATGGCTTGACCACCCTGTTGGGTGCCACAGGAACAGTAGAGGGGCTGCTCCTGTGAGAGGTGGGGTCTACCATCAGCAAATAAAGCAGACGTGGCATTTGTCCATATCACCTGTGCTCCCGGTGGGCTGAGCCCCAGCTACTGGAGTTGGCTTGTATCCAGCGGCCACAGTAGGAACCAGGCTGCTTTCTATAGAGCGCCTGGAAGCACTGTCCCAGCTGGCCAGCTCTGGAGCGGACTTGGGGGCCCAGCGCCCACCCCTGAGCCCACGCTCTCTCTCTGGGGGTCAGCCCCACCAGTTAGGGGGTTCTCTCTAGTTTTAAAGGTTTGCCAGTTAAATCTGACCCCAGGGGATAGATAGCGTCAGACAATGTGAACAAACACAAAAGATATTTCTAGCAGTTCTGGGGGCCTCCAGGCAGGATGGGGCAGAAAGCTGTTCCTACTCTCCATGCCACCCGCCTTTTACATCACAAAGCCCTGGGGAGTGTGTGTTGAGCAAAACCAGCTGCTTGTCTGTGAAACATTCACCTCTGGGGCTGGGAGAAAGGGGGTTCCCAAAGGCAGCACCAAGAAGTCCAGGGGAACCTCTCTGGTGTCCACGGGGCCAAGGTCCTGGGTCTCTTACCTTTAGTAACTTCCTTTCTTCCCTAAAAATGTCCTGAGTCAGGGAGACTGCATAGAGATTGACCTGCAGGGTAGCCCCTCCTAGTAGTGTGGGGTGGGTTCCAAACTCCCAATATTCCCTGAAGATCCCAGCATGCAAAGACTTGAAGAAGAAGGTAAAGGTTTTCGTTTCTCCAGGCAGAATCACACCTGAGAGGGACGGAGACAGAGGTTTTCACCACAGAGGAGCTAGCTGGGCCCCAAGCCTGCATGTATACAGTTAACTGAGCCCCAAGCCTATGCATATACAGTCAACTGAGCCCCAAGCCTATGCATAAACAGTTAACTGAGCCCCAAGCCTATGCATATACAGTTAACTGAGCCCTAAGCCTATGCATATACAGTTAACTGAGCCCTATGCCTATGCACATACAGTTAACTGAGCCCCAGGCAGGGTGACAGACCATCCTGGTTTGCCCATAAATGAGGGTTCTCCTGGGATGTGGGACTTTGGACTTTCTGTATGAAAACTGGGAAGTCCCAGGCAAACAGGGATGGTGGGGGAGATGGCCCTAGCTTCAGGGCGAGCAATCAGGTAACTGAACCCCTAGAAAATTTTTGCTCCCTGGTGACTCACTGCTCTGTGTTCTCAAGAGTTCGACCATCCCCCCTACAGACATGAACAGCTGGGAGAGGACATAATTCACAGAAGAAATGGGAGGGAATAGGCAGGGGAGAGCGGCTCAGCTTTGCAGGAGCATTAGCCCGACCGTGGCTTCTTAGACGGAGGACAGGAGGCAGGGAGTGAGGCAGCCAGGTACCTTCTCGATTGTTAAAGTAAAACCGCTGCATCCTGTTTCTCTTCAGGCCTTGGAAAGAGTCTGGCTGGGACCGCCGCCGCCAATCATACCAAATGGCCACTGTGCCATTATTGACCACGGTCAGCTCCGAAGATGTCTTCTCTCCTTCTAGAGTTTCGAAGGTCAAGCGGACGGCAATTCCAACATGCTTCTAGGGAAGGAGGAGGTAAGAGAAATGCCTCTCAGGGAGGCTCTGGCCTCCGGTAACCAATTCATCCTGGTTTGAAAGCAACTTTTCTGGGTTTGGCACTGAAAGTCCCGTGTCCCAGTCCTCCAGGGCCTGGGCGCTCTGAGTGCTAGCATTGTCCTCCAGTAGCCGTTGTCTCTAAGGCTGCCATCCACAGCAAGAAGGGAAGAGAAAACAGATTGTGTATCTGATGAGCAGTTCTGCTCCTTAGATCTGAAGGTTTTTTTGTTTGTTTGTTTGTTTTTTAAGAGAGAAAGCGAGAGAGAGCTGGGCATGCCTGCAAGCAGGGTGGGGGTGGGGTGGGCTGGGGCGGTGGGGGGAGGGCAGAGAAAGAAGGAGAGAGAGAATCTTTTTTTAGTTTTTAGTTTTTTGGGTTTTTTTAAGACTTTATTTAGGGGCACCTGCGTGGCTCAGTTGGTTAAGCGTCTGCCTTGGGCTCAGGTCATGATCCCAGGGTTCTAGGATCGAGCCCATGTCAGGCTCCCTGCTCAGCGGGAAGCCTGCTTCTCCCTCTCCTCCTCCTCCTCCTCCTGCTTGTGTTCCCTCTCTGGCTGTCTCTCTCTCTAATAAATAAAATCTTAAAAAAAAAAAAAGACTATTTATTTGAGAGAGAAAGAGACAGAGGGCATGAGCAGGAGGGAGGAGCAGAGGGAGAGGAGGAAGCAGGCTCCCCGCTGAGCCGTGAGCCCAACGGGGGACTCGATCCCAGAACCCTGGGATCATGACCTGAGCCCAAGGCAGACGCTTAATTGACTGAGCCACCCAGGCGCCCAGAAGAGACAGAATCTTAAGTAGGTTTCACGGCCAGCATGGAAGCCAATATGGGGCTCAATCTCATGACCCTGAGATCATGACCTGAGCTGAAAACAAGAGTTGGATACTTAACCAAATGAGCCACTCAGGCGCCCCTGAAGAATATTTTAGAACCTTCTTGAAGCCATACCTGTTTGGTTTTTTAAAAAAAGATTTTATTTATTCATTTGAGAGAGAGAGAGCACAAGACGGGCAGAGGGAGAGGCAGAGGGAGAAGCAGACTCCCCACTGATCTAGGAGCCTGTTGTGGGGCTCGATCCCAGGACCTGGAGATCATGACCTGAGCCGAAGGCAGACACTTAACCATCGGAGCCACCCCGGTGCCCCAAAGCCATACCTGTTTGAGGTTTGCTTATTTACATGCTTGGGGGCTGGGTACAAACTGGATGGCTTGTGATAGTCTCTTTTCAGCCTCGTGATTTTATTCTGGTGCAAGTTAGCACTCCTGTTACCGTTTTCAGACATGCTAAATGTATGACCAGATAAATGCAAAGAGGTGACTGTCCAGGCTGCTTGTGACTGCCACAGTCACCCTGTGACTACACGCAAGGGAGGCCCTTCCAGCAGGTGGGCGAGGGTGGAATCTGTTTTACCTCGTCCTGTGGGTTACTGCCTCTGATCCAGCAAGCTGGCTTCCCACAGAACAGCAGAGAAGGGCCAAGAATAGGCATGGGGACCACATCGGGGTAATTGGCCAAGTCTCTGTAAGAAAGACCAAGGACTCACTTCCCCTGAGGCTACCCCAGTCTTGCCCCGTGGCACCCAGGGAAATGGCCTGAACAGGTGCTGGGCTCTGCCCTCTGATGGAGAACCCTCAGCTCCAGTCGGCCTCGTCCCGCTCTATCCCTACAGGCAGGTGCTGCTGGGACACACAGAGACTCTGCACGTGGCCACGCAGCACGCACGGCATTTACCAGCAAAGGAATGGCAGGGAAATCCCCGTTAGGGGCTGGTTGCTGGGAGGGACCAGATGGTCACAGAAAAAGCTGGCACAGGTGTTGGGAGGGGCCCAGAGAGAGGCGGGGATGGAGGCCCTGGATTTTGGAGTGGGGAGTCTGCCCTTTATACTGCGGGTGCCGGGGGGAAGCCACTCTCCCTGACCTCTCTCCCTGGGGCCCGGGCCGACTCACAAGGGCACCGTGTCTTCTGAGGAGCTTTCCTGGTTCCTGTCAAATACTGTGAAGTCTTCCACCTTCACAGTGGTGAACGGATGCCCTTGGCCCACCACCTCCAGGCCATCAATATCCTCAGAGAAACCGAGAAAGGGAAGATTAGCTGACCGAAGACAGGCGCATCACAAGGGGCTTGGGACTGCCCAGAGGCGTACCTGCTGGCTGAAATCCAGTTCTGCCATGAGCTTCTGTAGCTCTGTGCGTCGGTAGATCAGAAACAGACTTCGATCCCAGGTGTAGCGATACCCAGCCTCCTTCCAGGCCGGCAATCCTAGAGTGGCGGGGCCAGGGGCCCTCAACAAGGTCAGCTGCAGGGGTCTCTTCCCCACCCACTAATCAGGGGCGCCACAAGCACACACCCCAGCACCGCTTCTGGGAAAGGGGAAAGTATGGCTTCCCTGTGAGGCTTGACTCCGGTCCTCCCGCCCCATCCCTACTGCCTCAGCAGCCCTGTTCAGGACTCCTGCATGACCAGCTCAGAACCCTGCAAACCTTTCGATTATAATCACAACGGCAGCCACATCTGACTGAGTGTTTAACAGCCAGCCAAAACCTCCTACTGCACACCCTGTCCCACTGAACACTCCCACAGTACTTTACAGGTGGGGAAACTGAGGATGAGAGGGCTTAAGAAACCCACTGGAGTTCGCAGACCCAACACAGCTGGGGCCCAAACCCAGCAGAGAAATAGCATGCAAACCACAAAAGCAAGCCATTAATGTCATGAAAATTCCCGAGATGCCACATTGGAAAAGGCGAAAAGAAATAGGTGAACTTCACTTCATTAATACAGTTTAACCCAAGATCAAGAATAGTATCATTTCAACATGTAATCAATATAAAAGTGATTAATAAAATATATCTTTTAGTACTAATCTTTGAAACCCAGTGTGCAGTTCTTACAGCACACCTGAGTCCATGCCAGCCATGTTCCAGGGGCTCGATGACCATGAGCCATGGTGGCCACGTGGACAGAGCAGCCCCACAGCTCCTGCTCCCACTTTCACCTGTCCCCCTTCCATCACTGTCTTACTGCAGGGGGGCTGGACCTCCGGGGGTTATGGGCCTCCATCCTAGGCCATTCTCATCCGGAGCCATGCCATTCCCCCTCCTAGGCCAGCCACAAGCTGCCGTCGCGTCTCCAGCCCGCTCCTCACCCATCTCTGCCTGGATGCATTGGGGCTTCCTGACGTGAGTGATGGGTTCCAGGAGGCCACGCTGAGCTTTTGTCTTTGTCATCACCAGACCCGTCAATTCATCTCCCAAGTATTCCAGGCGACTCCAGAACCCACTGGTCTCCTCACAGGTCTGGCAAGGAAGGACAGGGGAGTCACAGCACCTGGGCACTTTGGAGAGAGGCTGGTGGAGGCGGGGGGGTTGCCCAGCGGGACAAGAGTGCCACAGACCTCAGATGCTCTCCCTAGGGGGGATTCCCTGCTGCTGAGAGCAGGATAGAAGCACCCACTGTGCTCTTCTGTAGCCCCAGACGGATGGCACAGGCCCATAGAGGCACTGTACTGACAAACCACGGCAGAGGACGGTGCCCCAGGTCCCCTGAAAGCTGGAGCCTCGGCTTTTAGGAGAACACTGAGACGATTCTAATATCCCAATACCATGATATCTTTTCCCTCAAATTGACTACCTCAGACCACCACAGGCTGAGAACCTTGCTAGTCAGGCCCCTGAAAGCCTGGTAACAGTAAAGGCCTTAAGGGCTTCAAAATGCCTTGCAATGAGCATATTTTCTTGTTCTTTTTTTTTTTAAGATTTTATTTATTTATTTGGCAGAGAGAGACACAGCGAGAGAGGGAACATAAGCAGGGGGAGTGGGAGAGGGAGAAGCAGGCTTCCTGCCGTGCAGGGAACCCGATGCCGGGCTCAATCCCAGGACCCTGAGATCATGACCTGAGCTGAAGGCAGACGCTTAACGACTGAGCCACCCAGGCACCCCAATTTTCTTGTTCCTGACGTGCAACCTGAGGCAGCCATCCTTGGATCCAGAACCCCCTTCCTCACAGAGCACCTGGGAACTCTGTCCTTACCTTCCCATCATGCTGTGTTGGAAGTGTTCGGTCAATGAGCTCCCGTTCCTCCTGGATCCGTCTGTAGGTCTCCCCAGTGTGCATCAGCAGCTCGCTCACTGGCTTCTTCAGGTGTTCTGGAAAGGTGAGAGCCAAGAATGCAGCCCCTCCCTCAGATCAGAACAGGAGCCTAGCCCTGCGCCTGGTCAGCCCCAGGCTGGACAGATTTCGGGACCCACTAAGAGCAAGAAGCACTTGGGGGTGGAGGGGGTGGAGGGCACAACGTGACCAGGCTGCATCCAGGCTTCGGCCAGGTGGAGCCACGGGAAAACACGGCAGTGGAGCCTGGGTGGTGGCCGAGGCCCGGAGGGAACCCTGTCCACTGTGCTCACCGCTGAGGGCTTCCTGCTGCTTCTTCCGCAAGGCGATATGGCGCTGCCAGTTTCTGAGAAAGTTGTGCTGAGGAGGTGGGACCCAGGGATGTGCCTTCTTTTCTCTGGGGGCTTTCTCCTTTGGCTTTTCTTTTGCCGACATGAGGGTCACCAGAGCCAGCGGGGTGGGGATCAGCTCAGCCAGCTGAAAAGTACAGGGATAGCGTGCAAAGGGTAAGAAGCAGGCGTTGGTGGGGGTGGGGGGTTGGGAGGGTGGGGGGGTGGGGGGTGGCGAGAGCAGAGACTTCTCCAGGCCTCACCCCCTGCCGTCCTCCCCCTCTGCTCAGAGTCCCTCCTCTTCTGGACCCTGACATAGCAACTCTCAGTCTCTCTGTCCCCTCACAACTGATGCTAACTGACATCTTCACGGGCAGGGTGACCGAGCCATTTTTATATGACCCCAGGCCTTTTAGCACCTGACCCGGCAGAGGTGTTTTTCCTGGAGCCAAGGAAGCAAAGGAGCTGAAAGCCAGCAAAGCTCAAGTCAGACAGACAGACAGACTGATGTGCAGTCACAGGAGCTGCGAGAAGCTGCCCTCTTCCACTGTGTGCACCAAAGAGGCGAGCAGGCCAGGCTTCAGCGAAGGGCTAATAAAGCCAGTGGTGCGCAGAGGAACAGGAGCCCCAAGCCCCAATGCCTCTCTGGGTTCTAACTGGAGCCCGGCACGCTCTGGCTTTGGGGTTCCTTGAGGCACCTCTGTATCCTTACAGTGAATTGCTGACGTCAGCTGAAGCCAGTCTAAAGGGGCTTCACACTTTCGGGGGGAGGGTCATGAGCTTTTCAGATTCCAGGGCCCAGGAGGGGCCCCCAGTCCCCAAGTTGTGCTTGGTTCCACCAGGTGAGTACCACCGGAATGGCTCCAGTGACCGCTCCCCTCCCCACAGCTCTGTGCAAACCAACCTGGGTGTTCCCTTGAGCAATGGCAATTCTCTTAAAGTCCTGGAGACTCCCCAGGATGTGGTGAGGCAGGATCTGGTCACAGCCATGGAAGCTGTCGCCTGGGCCTGGGGGGATGGCAGGGAGGGACTAGCTCATGTCAATGTTTCAAGCCAGTTACTTTCTGCTGGTGACCCATTTTCCTCCCAAGGCTGGGCCCATGAACTCAGAGGCCAAGGCTGCCAGGGTCAAGCCGGGGCCGTACCAGAGTAGTCCAGGGGCTTCATGGCTGCATCTGGGGTAGCAGGATGTGCAACTAAGTGGCAGACCTTCCTCTTCGGATCCTTGGGCTTGAGTTTCCGAATGATAAATTTCTGGGTAACAGCAGGTCGATCTTGTGTCTCAATGAAGCGAGGAATGTGTTGCTTAAAAATAAATAAATAAATAAATAAATAAATAAATAAAATAAAACGAAACAGGAGAATTCCACTTGAGATCAGGAGGAAGAAAAACACCACCCATCTCCTCGGTCCTAATTTTTGGTGGAATTCCTGAAGGCTGACAAATCTGTTGTTCCAGCTCTGTCCATATGCTCTGTCGAGGAAATGTCTATGCCACAGACTAAAGTCTCAGTGATGTCCGGGAGGGAAAAGGTAACATTCAAACCCTCCAGACAGTGCAGGTGAGAAGTGGCCGACTCTTCCAGGTAAAGCATGGGGTGCGGGTTCAGCAGCTGTATCCACACCTGCAATGTACTCCTCAGACTCATTTTCCCTTCTATGAAATGGGGATGACGGGCACTTGCCTCTGTGGGAAGCAAGTTACCTGAACATGTCATTTCCCTATGGTTCTCTAGGACTCTCGGCAATGTTAAAATAAACCACATAGCAAATTCCTTCAGATGGGGGTGCCTGGGTAGCTCATTCGTTAAGCGTCTGCCTTCAGCTCAGGCCATGATCTGGAGTCCTGGGATCGAGCCCAGCATCGGACTCCCTGCTCTGCAGGAAGCCTGCTTCTCCCTCTCCCAGTCCCCCTACCTGTGTTCCCTCTCTCTGTGTGTCTTTCTCTGTCAAATAAATAAATAAAATCTTTTTAAAAAATTCCTTTAGATGCAAAAGTGCAAAGAGTCCATGTTCGATTTTTCCATGGAATTAGACACTCCCTCTGGGTGGGGAGATGGTGGAGAGAGAGTGGCCACGGTTGAGGTTCCCGACCATGCAGACTGACCCAGAAATGCTCCTGCAATAAAGGATTCTGGACCTCATCCTTACCTTCTTTAGATCTTCCTTCTTAATGGCTAAGGCAAGAATGTCATCCCCTTGTAGGACATTGCTAACAGGCTCAGGTTCTTCCTGAATGGGGGGTGTGGGTTGTTCAGCTACCTTTGTCCTCTTCTTTTCTAAAGAGAAGCAGAAAGGTACCACTGCTGAAATATAAATATATGTACAGTGTATATTCTAATAGAGATGTATAATATATATTCTAATATATAAAAGCTAATATCTATCTACATTAGAGTTCATGGTAGAAGGCAGAGCTCAACAACTAGACAGACAGCAGAGGCTACCAAGGTGGCCTGGAGTTCTCTCTCAAATGTCCCCCTACCTGTCCCCCTTGGCCTGCTACAGTGACTGGAACTTTTGGAGCTGGAGTTGCGATCGGAAGATAGTCCATTCCAGGCTGTGCCATTTATAAGCTATCCAACCTTGGGTGTATCACCTAGCCTCTCCTGGTCTCTGTTTTCCTTTTTGTAAAAAGAGAAAGCCCGACTAAATCAATGTTTTCCAAATATTTGTCAAATGTCTGCCTGAGGGTCTTCTGAAGAGTTTACTAAGAGAGCTTCCTAGCTACTTCCTGGGGCCAGGGTCAAGGGAACTGTATTTTGTAAAAACTCCCTCGGTGGTTCTGAAGCATAGGAGTTTGGGACAATGGGACTACATGCTTTCCCAGCTCTCCGCATTAGCGGCATTGACGCATTGTTCTAGGTGAAGACGTCAGGTTTCTTAGGACACTGGCTAAAATGCAGATGCTCTGGGCAAAGCAGAACCTTCACCCCTGAGCATTTATTTCACATTCTTTCATTTAATAAATACTGTTTAAGCATCTCGCTAGGCATTGTGCTAGGTTCTGGGGATATAAAGCAGAGTCTCGGGCCTCCAAGAGCACAAGCCCAAATAAGACTATCAAACAGGTTCCCTGAACTAAGGTCACTATGGGGGTGTCCGGGGAGGTATCCCAGCCCCATGTGTGGGGAGGTCAGGGGGGCTTCCTGAGGAGGTGATGTTTACACTATGAGCTGAAGATGATGGAGCTTAGATATGGGAAAGGCTCTGGGGAATAGGCATTCTAAAGGGAAGAGCACGGAGAGGCCTAGAGGCGACAGAAGAGAGTGGGCATCTGGAACTCCAAGCACATTTTTTAAATAGCTGGAGAGCAGCAAGGTGGGGGGTAGGAAGCTGTGCCTGGGAGGGAAGTAGGTGCCACATGGCTCAGAGCTTAGTGAGCTGTGTAAAGGACTTTGGTCTTTACCCCAAGGGTCATAATATGGCAAGGAATGGATAAGGGGCGCAAGATGGAATGGGGGGGTGTATAGGAGTCTATGGGGGGAATGAAGGGCTTGACAAAAGCGGCTCATGGGACTGGAGGAAAGTGGAGAGATCTGAGCCTCTTTCTTGCACAGGCTGGCAGGAGCGCAGCACTGAGAACTCGTGGACAGAGCAAGTCGCTCCCCAGCCAGGACGCCCTCCCTGCCTTCCTTCCAAAGACGTGGGTTTACAGTTTCAAATGCATTTTGTTTCTCTGGCTGCTGCCCCCTGGTTTAGAATGTTCTTAGGTAAGGCCTGACACAGAATA